CGCCAAATGATAACAGAAGTTATCTCAGGACACTTTTCAAATAGAGCAGGTCTAGACCGAACTCCTTATAACATTATTTACAGAGACCCAACAGTACCACCATGAGCAAGAACTTGGCAGAAACCTCGGCTCTAGGTGGCTGGTCATCTGCCTCGATCAGTTGGAGTGAGAAAGAGAGAACAGATGTAACAACAGAAGGACAGAGACAAAGGTGCACAGCAATAACAGTAGCAACAGCTACACTAATAGTAGTGACTGGTGGTAGTGACAGCTAAACTCAGTTCAAGAGACTGCTGAAAGGGAGAAAAGCAATGCAGCCAATCAGAACAACATTAATTAGCATAATGACAGCTGTTTGAAAGCCCAAAGGCTTGAGTGAATGTTGGCCTTGTCCTAAATGGTACCCTAGCACTGTGGTTCTTTGCAGAGTGTGTACTTTTAGTGAACAATGGTGTGATGCAGTGCATGAGTCCTCAAGGAGGCATGCATTTAAAAATAGTCTTGTGACCCTTTCTTTTTGATTCCTCCTCATTGGACTAATAAGTTATTTTTTAGGCATCTTTGATCGTAGCCTTTAAAACATTGACTTTCTACAGTTAAGTATTAATGCATGTGTGTGCATATGTAAGAATACATGTAGAAAATGATGATTAAGAGATAAGGAAACTGCACTTATGTGGCTCATTTTTGCACGACTAATGCCAAATTTCCCTTTGGACGATTTTAATTTAGCTATATGGAGACATTTTCCCTGAGGTATAGATATAGATTGCTTATAGCTGTAGATTCCCATTGGAACGGATGCTGGTGGTTCAAATCAAAAAGACCTGGCAAACACAGTTGAGTGTATTGAACATTTCTATCCACTATAACCGAACAAATGGTTAACTAACTCTTCTCTTCAAGCCTAAATTTCATGTATTAACAGATGTATGCATAGGTTAGGTAATTAATATGTGTGGTTGCTGGATAATAGCGTAAATAAACATTTTAAAGCTTTGATTTTTAAAGAAAAATGCAAAACAGTACAAAGCAAAAAGCTTACCTAGAGTACCTACATTTCTGTTTCGGTATTTCAACTTACTTCAGAGCTTGGCTTCATCAAGCAGCAGTTGTATTCCCCTCCACTAGATGTCAGAATCAAAAACTGACGGATGTGGTTGGATTTTATTTTGAAATTCGAGACCGGAAAGCCTTGCTTTTAGCTAGCTGGAGTTGTTGTAGCTGAGAAACACAACTCAAACAAACTCTACAGTGTAGACTGATTAAAGATGGCCGGAACGGCTTCAGTAGCTGGTGAAGTATTCGTAGATGCTTTGCCATATTTTGACCAAGGTTACGATGCCACAGGTGTCAGAGAAGCGGTGAGTAAACTTAATTTGGGTGTTTGCTAACCGCAGCGTGTTAGCTGACCATGCGTAGCATTAGCAGATGGTTAGCTAAGGCACGGTGTAAAATGTTCGTAAGATTTGAATGGGACACGAAGCAGTTAATAATAACAGCATTAAGTATCCCCATAGGTTGCTATAGTAATATTTTAGCCTTTGTTTAGTGAATTATTTGGTTTTATATATGTTTGAATTTAGCTCACAGCTTCCTGTGGTTGGGAGTGTAGCTCTATGTTTAAAACCTGTGCAGTCTGTCTGTGGAAGCCAGTTCCCGCTAGCTAATTTAAATAAAGAAACAGACTGTGCCTTTAATAGCTGTAATGGCTTGTGATGAAATGTAATAAAAAAATGTGTTATTTTGCACTTGGAAAGCCATTTTCTATGTTTTATCTTTTATCTTTCAGTTTACACTGTTTTTACCACAGTACAATAATGAACCTGTACAGCTCAGTAACAATATTACACTGTGTGACTACAATGCAAACTGAAATAACTGAGGTTGTCCAGTGTTTAAGATTAAGGGGGCACTACTGGCAAAATATGGCAGAAATATAATCTGATGTTCATAGGTATTAAAGGTGTCACAATTGTCCTCCATACCATTTAACTTTTGATTTTAAAGGTGCAATGTGTAATTCCTGGCCACATGCATAATAAACCTTGCACTGTCCTCAAACAGTCAGATACAGACATCCTTGTATGGAGTTAGAATCATGCC